TTTTTTTTGAGACAGAGTTTCGCTCTTGTTGCCCAGGCTGGAGTGCAATGGCACAATCTTGGCTCACTGCAACCTCCACCTCCCGGATTCAAGCGATTCTCCTGCCTCAGCCTCCCGAGTAGCTGGAATTACAGGCATACTCCACCTCGCCAGGCGAATTTTGTATTTTTATTAGAGACGGGGTTTCTCCATGTTGGTCAGGCTGCTCTCGAACTCCCGATCTCAGGTGATCCGCCCGCCTCGGCCTCCCAAAGTGCTGGGATTATAGGCGTGAGCCACCGTGCCTGGCCAATTTTTGTATTTTTTGTAGAGACAGGGTTTCACCATGTTGCCCAGGCTTGTCTCGAACTCCTGGGCTCAAGCTATCTGCCCTCCTCAGCCTCTCAAAGTGTTGGGATTATAGGCCTGAGCCACTGCACCCGGCTTATTTTTATTTTTATAGACGTAATATCTTGCTATGTTGCGCAGGCTGGTCTCCAACCCCTGGGCTCAAGTGATTCTCCTGCCTCTGCCTCCCAAAGTGCTGGGATTACAGGTATGAGCCACTGTGCCCAGGCCTTATCATTATTATTATGTCCACATTAAAGACAGAGAAATTGAGGACAAGAGAGGGGACAGGACTCAAAGCCAGTCACTGTTAGAAATGGGACTTGATCCTAGACCTGACCTACCTCTCCCCATGTCCAGGCCTCGCTTTCCCCGATGGCGCAGATACCAGGGGAAGTGGACAACATGGAGGGCCTACCTGCCTCTAACAACAACAACCTTGCCACCCGCTGGGAGAGTCCGGATCGGGGCTGGGAGCGGGAGCAGCCAGCCGCCTCCACCGCAGCGGCCTCGCTCTTTGAGTGCTCCCGGATCAAGGCCTTGGCAGGTACCTGGAGGAGGGCTGGGGTGGGATGAGGAGGATGAGGAAGGGGAAAGGGTACCCGAGAACCTTGGTGGTCCGGAGGGTGGGAAGAGAGACCAGCACTGTCCAATAGAACTTTCCATGATGGCGGAAATAGTCTATATCCGTGATGTCCAATGTAATAATCACTAGTCCATGTGGCTTTTGAGTGTTTGAAATGTGGCCAGTGCTATGTGACAGACTGAGTTTTCAATTTTATTTAGTTTTAATTAAATTTATTTATATATATATATATTTTGAGATGGAGTCTTATTCTGTTGCCCCGGCTGGGGTGCAGTGGTGAGATCTTGGTTCACTGCAATCCCTACCTCATGGGCTCAAGCCATCCTCCTACCTCAGCCCCCTGAATAGCTGGGACTACGGATGCATGCCCCCACACCTGGCTAATTGTTTTTTTGTTTTTTTGGTTTTTGTATTTTTGGTAGAGATGGGGTTTCACTATGTTTGCCAGGCTGGTCTTGAACTTCTGACCTTAACTGATCCACCTGCTTTGACCTCCCAAAGTGCTGGGATTACAGGCACGAGCCACTGCACCCGGCCCAGTTTTAATTAAATTTAAATAACCGCATGTGGCTTGTGACTGCTGTATGGTGCAGCGCAGCCTTAGAGCCTTAGAAATGTGCAGTCCCAGAATGGTGGGATTTTGTAAGCATATTCCCTTAGAATCCCGAAATGCAGAGCCATCAGATCCTTGGAACTTGAAATGTCTAAGAGATTCTCAGACCTCTCGAAATGAAGACCTTTGACTGGGCGTGGTGGCTCATGCCTGTAATCCCAGCACTTTGGGAGGCTGAGGTGGACAGATCTCTTGAGTGTGTGAGTTGGAGACCAGGTTGGCCAACATAATGAAACCCTGTCTCTACTAAAAATTAAAATAATACAAAAAAAATTAGCCGGGCATGGTGGCATGCATCTGTGGTCCCAGCTATTCGGGAGGCTGAGGTGGGAGGATGGCCTGAGCCAGTGAGGTGGAGATTGCAGTGAGCCAAGATCGCGCCACTGCACTCCAGCCCCAGCAATAAAGCAAGAACCTGTCTCAAAAAAAAAAAAGCCTGGCTAATTAAAAATAATTTTTTTTGGCTGAGCATGGTGGCTCATGCCTGTAATCCCAGCACTTTGGGAGGCTGAGGCAGATGGATCACTTGAGGTCAGGAGTTTGAGACCAGCCTGACCAACATGGTGACTCTACTAAAAATACAAAAATTAGCCAGGCATGGTGGCTGGCACCTGTAATCCCAGCTACTCGTGAGGTGGGAGGCAGGAGAATCACTTGAACCCGGGAGATGGAGGTTTCAGTGAGCTGAGATTACACCATTTCACTCCAGCCTAAGTGACAAGGGTGAAACTCCTTCTTAAAACAAAAAAAAAAATTTTTTTGGAAGATGGGGTCTTGCTGTGTTGCCCAGGCTGATCTGGAACTCCTGGGCTCACACAGTCCTCCCACCTTGGCCTCCCAAAGTGCTTTGATTACAGGGGTAAGCCAGAGTGCCTAGTAGTCACCCTACTTTGATGTATCAGAACAATATTAGCAAAGACCAGAGAACTTTATAGTTATAGAAAGACCTTAGACCTTTAGAATTGCAGACCCTCAAACCTTAGTACTTAGTATTCATTCATAGAGGTTTGGAACCTTAGAAGTGTTTAATCATCAGCATTAAAATTGGCAAATGGCCAGGTGCGGTGGCTCCAGCTTGTAATCCCAGCACTTTGGCAGGTCGAGACGGGCGGATCACGAGGTCAGGAGATCGAGACCATCCTGGCTAACACGGTGAAACCCCGTCTCTACTAAAAAATACAAAAAACTAGCCGGG